GGCCACATCGAAGAGTGTGGGGGTTAGCATCCCACAGGGAAGATGGAAAGTAAAGTGGGAGTAGTCCCAGAACAGCAGAGAAGCTATCAGCATCTCCGGAGAATAGTTCAAACCTGTCTTCGACAGCATCACCAGGTCGAAAATCCCCATATCCTTCCAGATCGAGGTTTGGTGCTTCTCCATCTTTGCTAGCCAAGCAACGTAATCAGGGGTAAGGCTAGGGCAGGACCTGAAGGCCCTAACACCTCTGTTGAAGAAGCGGAGGTCGATTTTTTCATGTGCAGGGTCTTCATTGTCTTCTGCGTCTTTCTTGGCGCATGCAACCGGTTTGAGTTTCTCGACTACCGGGAAATATCTCTTGATCTTCATAGCCTCAGAGATACTTGGATACATGGGGCCAGACATTGCAAAGATCTGGTTGGAGTATCCAACCGGGATCATAAGGTGGCGTGAGTAGGCATCGCGAACGGCGATGTCCAAGGGTTCAGGAACCCTTCGTTTGCCTGTAGAAGTTACTACCGGAGCAGTGACGAAAACCTTGGGTTTAGCATTTTCAGATGGTACAGTAGCGCCAGGAGCATTGGAAGCAGATGCCATTGTTAGAGTTGAGGTTGAAGACGAAGTGAAGGAGGAAATGTTTTTGCAAAGATGACAAGTTGTATGAAAACAGAGAAGTTTGAGAGCTAGATGGCGTAAAAAGTCCCACAATGGGGCCCTTACTGCTATTTATAGTAGTGGGGGAAAATCCCCAAAACCGAGGACATTAAATGCCATTTAATTATTGCAGGAGTTAGTGGGACGCGTGGCAGCCCCCTGTTGTTTTAGCCGTTCTGCAGAAATAGAGGGACGCAGCGTGCGTCCTCGTTTTTGGGAATTGTCATAATGACAAATTCTGAAATAACGTTTGGTACTGCACGCCGTACTGAAAGTGACGTCCTAGGTACGGATAAATGATGGTTTTCTTGGGATTGCCAATAGCTGGTAGAAAACAACAAAAAGTGCACAAGTTAATTTGTGACTAAGCGTGAAAAGACAGGTGTCGAATGGCGTTTCAAAGAATGCCTTTTTCTTTCAGAGTCGAAATAAGGCATTCTTGGGGGGCAATTTGTTGGCTCCTAAATTCGACACCTTTGTTTTGTTGATGTCAGCCATTAAAGCTGAAGGATGTTTTCGACTGGCTAAGTCTGTCGAAATGCCCGTCGAAAGATGGCAAAGTACTTAGAAGATTTCTTCCAAGGGAGAAGTTGGTTGCCTTCAACGTCGAAGGAGTTTCTCGTCGAAGATGTCTCTCGACGAAAGTGTTCGATGGTTCAGAGTGGAGCAGTTTGAAATTCAAGCGTTTGGAGGGAAAACGGTTTCCAGCAGTTACCACGTGCAAACGTGCAAGGATCTGGAGCGTCGAACGTGGAGAACGTGCCAAGTGGATTGATCTCGAAGCAGTGTAACTGCCCGACGGTTACTTGGGATGTTTTAGTATAAATAATAGTAGTCATGTAGTTTCTCGCGTGTGTTCACAATTCTATACAAAGTCACTCATATAGATTCGAGTACCCAGCGTGTGAGAAAGAATTGTTGAGAAATGTATGTGTGAAACACCAATTTTATTAATCAAAGTCATTTACTTTTCCAGAAATTTACTTGCTTTTCTCTTTATATTCCTGTCGAAGCCTTTTACTTTAAGCCTTGTTTATTTTACCAAGTCCTTTCTTCATGAAATTTACTTGAAACCTCTTTATTTAAAGCCTTATCCAATTTAATCAAAACTTCAAAATCAACCTATGTCCTAGGATCAATCTGATCGATCCTGCGAGTAACCAAATAAGTAACCATTTGGAGGATCAGCGGTTGTTTACCAAATCCCTAGGTAAACACTACCCAATGCAACTTCAATCTAAGTTCTACTTAAACCTGAATTCCTACTCACTCCCCCTCAATCACAGCAGTGATACTTAAAACAATTGACTAATGAATTAATGAAGACACTCTTCAGAACATACACTTGATTATGCTTCACAGATTTTTAATCAAGTAACACAAACACTCTTGCTTCACAGCTTTGAGTGATACATAAACCTAACTTGACTTTGCTTCACAGCTTTAGTCAAGAGACATAAACACTCTTGCTTCAAAGCTTTGAGTGATACAAAAACCCTTACAATCAAAACCTATTCCAAGTCACTTATCATAATGATACTTGCTTGGATTACAGCAGTTAAAACTATACAACTCCTAATTGATCTTTGGTCCAAAAAGATATTTTCCAAACAGCAATCCTGTTGAATATATAGCAGCTGTTTCTTCAGTTAGGGTTTCCACAAAATGCTAGGGTTAATTAGGTTTAACCTTAAGACTTGGTCACAAGACTTTATCAACCAGATTAGGGTTGAGCTAGGTTAACCTAAAGTCCACGTGAGATTCTGTTCTGGAAAGAATGAGCCAACTTCCTGAAAAATCTCAGAATTAACCAAACTGCATATCTGTTAGATCAGTACAGGATGTCTTAATATTTGTTATGACATCAGAATTCCTGTTTACTGATTTTGGTATAAGGCAATAAATGTGATCTTTTGCAAAATGCTCAGATACACACTCATACACAGTAGCTACTGTATGCCATACTTTTTCTGCATAAAGAACCTAATAATCCAGAATGTTATGACATCAGTCATGACATTTACACACCTGGTTTTACCAAAAATACATGCCAATAACTAAACACTTACAATGTTAATTTGTCTTATCATCGCTTGTCTTCTTTGCATTATGCTTGTATTTCCTCTTTGTCTTCTGTGTCTATTCCCAAGACTGTAGGTGATGCTTTATCTCACCCTGGTTGGAAACAAGCTATGCTTGATGATATGTGCGCTCTTTATAACAATGACACGTGGGACCTTGTTCCTCTTCCTCTTGGGAAATCTGTTGTAGGTTGCATGTGGGTTTTCACAGTCAAAGTTGGGCCCGATGGACAAGTTGATCGTCTCAAGGCACGTTTAGGGGCCAAAGGTTATACACAACTGTTTGGCCTAGATTATGGTGACACCTTCTCTCCCGTGGCTAAAATGGCCTCGATTCGATTATTTCTCTCTATGGCAGCTATTCGCCACTGGCCCCTTTACCAGCTTGACATCAAGAATGCATTCCTGCATGGTGATTTGTGTGAGGAAGTTTATATGGACCAACCTCCTGGGTTTGTTGCTCAGGGGGAGTCTTCTGGACTAGTTTGTCGTCTTCATAAGTCTTTGTATGGACTTAAGCAATCTCCTAAAGCTTGGTTTGAGATATTTAGCACTGTTATTCAAGAGTTTGGTATGACGCGATGTGAAGCTGATCATTCAGTGTTTTATCGTCACTCAGTTGTTGGGTGTATTTACTTAATTGTGTATGTGGACGACATTGTCATTACAGGTAATGATCATCATGGAATCACACAGGTAAAACAACACATTTGTCATCATTTCCAGACAAAAGACCTTGGCAGACTTCGTTATTTCTTGGGCATAGAGATTGCCCAATCCAAACGGGGGATTGTGATTTCACAAAGGAAGTATGCTATGGATATTTTGGAGGAGACAGGATTGTTAAATTCCAAGGCAGTTGACACTCCGATGGATCCCAATGCTAAACTTATGCCAGCTCAGGGGGAGCCACTCTCCAATCCTGAAAAATATAGAATATTAGTTGGAAAACTGAATTACCTCACTGTTACTCGCCCAAATATTTCATTTCCTGTTAGTGTGGTAAGTCGATTTCTTAACTCTCCTTGTGAAGGGCATTGGGAAGCTGCGATTCGCATCTTGAAATATATTAAAGGAGCTCCAGGAAAAGGCTTACTCTATGAAGACAAGGGACACACTCGAGTTGTAGGATACTCAGATGCAGATTGGGCAGGTTCTCCTTCTGATAGGAGATCGACCTCAGGTTATTGTGTTTTCTTGGGTGGTAACTTAATTTCCTGGAAGAGTAAGAAACAAAGTGTAGTGGCAAGGTCAAGTGCGGAAGCAGAATATCGAGCCATGGCAATAACAACCTGTGAGCTTATATGGCTTAAACAATTGCTCACGACCTGAGATTCGGAGATGTTTCACAGATGACACTTACTTGTGACAATCAGGCAGCTCTGCATATTGCATCAAATCCAGTGTTCCATGAGAGAACCAAACACATTGAGATTGATTGTCATTTCATCAGAGAGAAGATTTTATCTAGAGATGTCAGCACTAGTTTTGTCAATTCAAATGATCAGTTAGCTGATGTTTTCACTAAGCCTTTGAGAGGGGTCTTCGAATTAATTATATTTGTAACAAGCTTGGTGCATATGACATATATGCTCCAGCTTGAGGGGGAGTGTTAGATATCAGAATATTCCATATAATGTAAATAGAATATTCTGTAAGTAATTAGGATATCATGTAAATAGGAAATAGAATATTATGTAATTATTATAGAATATTATGTAATTACTATGGCATTTATGCCTCCTATTATATATAATGAGCTCTGAAGTGTAATTCAAACACACGGATTCAATCCAACCTTTCTCTTGTTCTCTCATTATTCAACAGTAGCAATGTTCTACTGGTGAAAATGATGGAGGTAGAAATAGGCTCGTGGTGGTAGGATTTGGTGACAGTAAGGTGGTGGGAGAAAAATGGGATGCTTTGTCTTTATCCTATCCTGCTGATTCACCTCAATAGACTAGATAGTTTTATAAGAAATATGCCATAAAATCTACCCTTTGGATAAGCTCATATTATCCAATGTGTGCACTAAACGTTGAACAGGGTTGGGCAGTGGGCAGGATATCTTATACTATCCAATGCAGATTTATTTCCCACCTTCACTATTCGAGTGGCAAGCATAGTCTTAAATAAGATAACAAATATATTATTTGATTGGGAAACCTTATGGTTTAAGTCGGTAGTTACTTGGAATGCTACCAAAGTAATGGACAGACACATCATTACGTAGTCAGAGTATTAATTTACTGACAAAACTTGCCTATGGTATTATAAGTGTTGTACTAGGCACTGTTTTCATTAAAAAAAGACTATACCTACTCTTATCTGGCTTAGAAATCTCAACTTTCATGTTGTTTTTAGTGAAAAACAACATACTATGAATAAGTTTGATTGCATATGTATTGAACCATCCTTTCTTACTTTACTTCTCTTTTAGTGAATGTTGTGACCCCCCACCCCACCCCACTTGCTTTTCAGAATGAATATATTAGCCAACTACATCTTTTCATTTGGTTGGAAAACCCAATTGTTTCTTTTATGTAAGCATCTTAAATTTAGGGATATTGGTATCCCTATTTGTTTTGGAAGTAGAACCTTGAAAGGTAGCCATGAAAAGTTTGACTACCTTAAAGTGGACAGTTGATTACAAATAGTAAGAACAATGTCCAGTTAGTTCTCATATACCAGTTTGATTAACAATGTGCCCTCATAGTGGATTTTGAAAAGGAAACAACACAGTTGTGGAAATAAGAGAAATTAGGGTAATTTAAATAAAACTGTTTGAAGAAAAGAAAGAACTAGGTCTTTTTGCACTCCAAGTCATACACTCATAATAATTAACAACCTAACAATAAATTGTATTGCAGCTTTTGTCCTCTCCATTTCAGTGTTGTATAAATTCCTAATCTAATATCTTTATACCTAAACATAAGAATATTCTTCATACTCTAGATGGATCCCAAACCTTTTGTTTTGATGCATCATATTCTTGTTTATGTTTAATTTCAGGCATTGAAAAGTGTTGAAGAAGCTGTGATAAAACTTGAAAAGTTGCTTCAAGAATTGCATGTGTCAAGCTCTAGTTCTGGAAAAGAGCATTTGAAAGCAGCCTGTTCTGATTTGGAAAAAATACGGAAACTTAAGAAAGAAGCTGAATTCTTGGAGGCATCTTTCAGAGCAAAAGCCGATTCTCTGCAAGAGGTACACAACGTCCTGCACAGCTTCCTTTACCCATTCCATGAATAGGGCATCAAAGCTTTTTTTACCTTGAAAGGACATCAACTCTCTAACGTCTCTTTTGTATGTCAATGTCTTCTATTTTTTTCTTCTTGAGAGTGAGAAATCTTCTTTTTGGGTTTTTACCTCCGAGTAATTGTGTTTTAGTTTTTTTTTTTTGTATTTGCTGTTGATGAAAGTAGATTGACTGATCAATATGATAGGTCCAGAAACTAATCAGTGATGGGCTGTTGTAAAGAAATAATTGACATTACATTTGTCTTTTTTATACGAGGAATCAATTGGCTTCGAAATGGAAATTTATGTTATAATTTTTGTCCCTTGAGAAAGATTATTTTGGTAGATGAACCACTTTTATGGCCTTCATTGACTTTGAGGTACCATTTTGGTACTAAAAATTAGAAAACCAATACAATTCCGAGTATATGTTTGGAAGGTCTAAAAACACGTGTCTCTTTCGATAAAAAGTTACTTTATTTCTTAATGAACATTGTAACTATTGTTAGACTCTTCAGTTTTGTAACTGATATTAAATTATTAGTGGAGTTAGTGGGTAATTATTAAAATTATTATATTATTAATTAAGAGTGTATAGGTTTAGAATAAATAGGGGAAGACATTAGGGAGTTGAACATCTTGGAATTGGATAGGAAAATGGACGATTTTGGCATTGGGAGGTGCAGACCCTCGAAGTTCTGCGGTACTGTTTTGTAATTCAAAGGGACTTTCCCTATTTTCTTTTATATATCAGTTGGTTTTTATCAACGGGTATCAGAGCAATTCTGATCCAAAAAGATTTAGCCGGTGTGCTGGAAATTTTGGTATGAATATGGCTGCAGATTTGATTCCAAGATTTGATGGAAGGGAGGCCTATTGGTGGCTGATCCAGGATGAGCAATATTTTGGATCAAGAAGAATGAGTGAAGAGATGAAACTTGCGTTGGCTGTTGCATTTGTATTGAGAGGAGATACTCTTGATTGGTGGATTTCTTGGAAGGAGAGTCATCCAAATACTTGTTGGTGGAATTTTGTAAAGGCCATTCTTAAGAAATTCCAACAAGAAGTTTGAGATTGTCTACTGGAGTCTGAAAACGAAACACAGGAAATTCAAGCCACTGAAGAAATTCAAGAACCAATAGCAACTCCAACTGGAGAAAAATTGGTGGTAAAGTTGAAGACTCACAAATCCAACAATACAATGAAAAAGAAGTTTGTAAAGTAGATATTAAATCTGATTGCGAGGGAGATGAAGTGAAAAATACAGATTCATTGATGGCCGCCAGTGAAGCAAAGGTCCAGAGAAGTGAGGGAGAGTCGGCTATTTCATCACAGGCAAAAGACTCACTATTGTCGGTGTTTGCTACTATTCCTAAGATGAAGTCTAGGAACAAGAAATTTCCACTACCGGTGCCACTATGGCCACAACAACTGGTCACGAGGAAGGTATTGGCATTAGCAAGAAAATTTCCTACTTCATGTACAAACTCAACCTTTATTTTTCAAATTATGGGATCCGGGAGGATACATTTTTCCTCCCGTGTATTTTTTTCACCTTGAGGACAAGGTGAATCTTTAGGGGGGAGTATTGTTAGACTCTTCAGTTTTGTAATTGATATTAAATTATTAGTAGAGTTAGTGGGTAATTATTAAAATTATTATATTACTACCTCCGTTCCTTTTTATAAGAGACAACTCACTTTTTAGGTTCATTGAATAATCAATGTATCTAGTCTATAAACAAATCAAATACATTGATTATTTAATGAACCTAAAAAGTGACTTGTCTCTTATAAAAAGGAACAAAGGTAGTATTAATTAAGGGTGTTCAGGTTTAGAATAAATAGGGGAAGACATTAGGGAGTTGAACATCTTGGAATTGGATAGGAAAATGGATCATTTTGGCATTGGGAGGTGCAGACCCTCGAAGTTCTGCAGTACCGTCTTGTAATTCAAAGGGATTTTCCCTACTTTCTTTTATATATCAGTTGGTTTCTATCACATTGTTACCAAAAGCAACCTATAATGGAATACATACTTATTAACCTAATGGCTACTTTAGTTTTTCAAATACAACAAGTTATGGACAAAAACAAGCATACAAATAATATTAATGTACAATAATTAGGAGAGGAATATGTGGATTAGATAGGTGCCTTTCATCCCCTTTGCTTAAAAATAGTGGATCCATGTTTAGTAGTATGCTTGGATAGGGTTGATCTTTTTTTTTTTCCATGGTATTTGTTGATATTTGTAAATATATAATGTTAAGATGGTATCAGAGCCTGGTTTAAGATCCGTTAGGCCACTCCGCTATTAGGCCACCCACCATTTAGTTCTACACTCTAGACGTTCACCATAGGCGTGAGAGGGGGTGTTAAGAGTCCCACATCAGACAATATATGATCTGAACATGTGCTTATAAGTGAGGGCAATCCTCATCCTACAAGCCGGTTTTGTAGGGTCGAGTTAGGCCCAATCACACATTCTAAGATGATATCATTCTGTCTTTTATCGTCACTCAGCCTAAGAGTGTAATCAATTTCAGACAAAAGATCTTGGTAAACTTCGGTATTTCTTGGGTATTGAGGTAGTCCAATCTAAAGATGGTTTGGTGATTTCTCAGCGGAAATATGCTATGGATATTTTGGAAGAAACAAGTTTGTTGAACGCTAAACCAGCTGATACTCCTATTGATCCAAGTGTCAAACTATTATCCAATCAGGGGGAGCCTCTATCAGACTCGGGAAGGAATATGAGATTGGTTGGAAAGTTAAATTATCTCACAGTCACTCGTCCAAACATTTCTTTTGCAGTCAGTGTGGTAAGCCAGTTCTTAAGTTCCCCTTGTCAGGAACACATGGATGCTGTTATCCAGATTCTGAGATACATCAAATGTGCTACAGGAAAAGGTTTAGTTTATGAAGATAAAGGACATACTCAGATAGTTGGATACTCCGATGCTGATTGGGCAGGGTCACCAATTGATAAACGATCCAACTCTGGGTATTGTGTACTTGTTGGAGGAAACCTTATATCCTGTAAAAGTAAGAAACAAAATGTAGTTGCAAGATCAAGCGCCGAGGTAGAGTATAAGGTCATGGCAATAGCAACATGTGAACTCATTTGGTTAAAACATTTGCTCAAAGAACTTCAGATTGAAGAAGCAAGACCAATACACTTGTATGGGAAAATCAAGTTGCATTGCACATTGCTTCAAATCCAGTCTTCCATGAGAGGATGAAACATATTGAGATAGTCTGTCACTTTGTGAGAGAGTAGATCGAATCTGGCGACATCGTCACAAGCTTTGTCAACTCTAATGATCAATTGATAGATGTGTTTACAAAATCTCTGCGAAGTCTCAGAACTAATTATATATGTGGCAAGCTTGGTGCATTTGACTTATATGCTCCAGCTTGAGGGGGAGTGTTGATATCTGTAAATATATAGTGTTAAGATGGTATTAGAGTCCGGTTTAAGATCCGTTGGGCCACTCCGCTATCAGGCCACCCACCATTTAGTCCCACGCGCCAGACGTTCACCCTGGGCATGAGAGGGGGTGTAAAGAGTCCCACAACGCACAATATATGGCCTGAACATGTGCTTATAAGTGAGGACAATCCTCACCCTACAAGCCAGTTTTGTAGGATCGAGTTAGTCCCAATCACACATTCTAAGAGCATTAAGAGCATTTATGCTGCACTCATGATTTTCTTTTTCAAAATAGTGGAGTAATGTGGGTTGTACTAACTGTTATCCTTTCTTTGCACTGTGATTCATCGTAATCTTGCTTGACTCATATGCATACCAGTCACATGTTTGCTTTTTGAAAAACTCATTATTTGCTTGCCAATGGTACTTCTTGTACACTCATCCAGGGAGTTAGTAGTGCTCAAACCATCACACCGGTCGGTGAAGAGGACAGGCTAATAAAAGGGAAAAGCAGAAAGAATGACAACGTAAGGGTGGACAGGAACAAAAGGTATGAAGGCTTGGCTTACATTTTTTCATATCTACTGACTTGCTTCTCGTAAAAAAAGTTCAATGCCAGATAGCCAGATATTACTTTTTTTTGTTTGTTATATTCTGTTTAGCTTTATGTAAAAGTTGCATGTGTCTTTTTCAGACAAATTGGAAACTCTCGTGGATTCTGGGGCATCTTTGTACCTCCTGTCACCAGAAAGCCTGACCTGGAAGCAGATGCGGACGCATATGTATGCATTATCATCCTTATACTTTGACGCTGTTGACTTAGTTTTTGCATATTTGTGAAAATGCAACTGTCTATTTGGTTCTCTTTTATTTAAATAATGTATAAGCTTAATATGTTTGTTAGAATCCTGTTTTACTACTGTTATGTCATATATGTTCTTTATTAATGGTCTTGTTGTCCAATCATAGTCATTTCTAAATTGACATGAAACTAAACATATGCTTGATTCATTGGCGGCACAACAAATATTATATTTGGCTCAGTATAATTGTGGTAGGAAATAATAGTCATTTGAAAAAGTGACTTGATGCAATGACAAATGGTTTTTGATTAGATAACCAATAGCCACTGAGTAGTGAGTTTTAGTGAGGATAATTGCTGGTTAGTTGCAAATAGATTAATAAATTGCTACAAATTATTTGATGCATAATTGAAAATGACCCAAGAAAACCTATCTCAATATGTTATAAAGCTATTTTTTTATGTTTGCTTTTGCATAGAATATCACACTCACAACAAGGAAACTGGTTTTTAAGTTCTTCACTCATTACTCAGAATGTGGTGGACCGTTAATAACTTCAAAGTCAAATTTGCAAAGTCAGAGTTCTATAGAAGCTTACAATATAATTTATTTTTCTTCAAACTGTATTACCTAATAGTCATAAATGAACTGGAACATAACCGTCCTTCACTTGATTTAGCTGTATAGACAATTAATTATTTATTCTAATTGGTTGGCAGATACATGGTTGAGTTTTGAGTAATATGGACTTTCTATCTTGTTTTTAGGAAAATTATATTGAACAGCCTGCGTCAAATGTAGGGGTTGTGGATCAAGAATCCAATGAAATCCACCGCTTTGAGCTTCTAAGAGATGAGCTGATGGAACTTGAGAAAAGGGTTCAAAGAAGTGCCTATCAATCAGAAAATAATGAGGTATGTCTGAAACATTTGAATTTGATGTCTCCCAAGTTTAACTTATAGTCTTATGGAATAGTTTATATTACTTAAGTTAGATATTGCACTATTATTAACGTACTATGCTTCCCAATCTTAATGTCAACTTACTTGAAAGGTCTAAATTATTTGAATATTGAAAACTTTTAAGTTACAAAATAGAGGTTCTAATAATAAATTGCAATTAAAGAAAGAGGAAAAAAATTATGTCCTGATAATTACACTATCAATGTGATACTAGCAAAAGAAAAAAAAGGAAATAATGAAATATTTATTCTAAAATAATGCTATTTACAACACTTCAGCTACTGTTAGGTTTTTATTAAATCTGCATGTCATTTTTATTAACTGCTTTTTATCTAGTGTCCATCCTTCTAGTTTATTTTTTTGTGAAGGCTTTCAAGATTAGTGTATACATTGTTTTAACAGGATTTGATGATCATTGACAATGGTGCCCGTTATAGTGGTGATGCTGGAGATGGTCAGATTGCCTTAGTTCCGAAGAAAGAGAATATCATACAAAAATCTTTTGAGAAACTAAAAGAAACAGGAACGGTATGATAGTCTGATGTTTTTCTTTTTTGGAAATATTATCTGTTTATGAACTTATCTGCTTCATCACATTAGTCAGATGAATCTGGCTGATTTTTTTCTTTCTTAGAATTTGGGTTGGGTTTAACTCAACGCTTATAAAATTGGCTTGTAAGGTGAAGACTAGCCCACCCTTATAAAAAGTTGTAAACACACTGTCAAGGCATATCTCGTCCAGTTTGGGATTCTTAACATTCTTCATCCCGTGTTTTAGGAAACTGAAAAGAAAAATGGTAAAATATGTGCGTGTAGCAGCATCTCTGATACTTTTGACAATGTCCACTGCTCATAATAATATCATAGTAATGGAAATTTAAAGTTAAGTCATAGGTTATTTCTTGTATCCAATAACTGAGATCTAAAGTCTGCTGTTTAATAAACAGGATGTCTGGCAAGGAACTCAACTTCTTGCTATTGATGTTGGTGCTGCCACGGGTTTCGTCAGAAGGACCTTAATAGGTGATGAATTGACTGAGAAGGAGAAGAAAGCACTTAAAAGAACCTTAACGAACATGGCCTCAGTTGTTCCTATCGGTGTTTTAATGCTAATTCCAGTGAGTTGAACACCTTTATGATTGTTCTTATCAACTATATCTGAATAACATGTTTTGTTCTTGATAGAAAAGCATACTGTTCATTCATAATAAAAAGATCCTAATCAAATTATGTTAGGTTTCTAAATCTCGTCTTGCTATTATATGAGTCATACTCAACAATAACATATGTAAGAAAGTAAAACTCTCCTAATATTTTGAATGAATAGTAAATTAAATTAATTATTGATCCTACTTAAGAAAGTTTTGCTTCCTTTATTTTCTTTCCCTTGTAAATTTGTCGAATTCATTTTTACCTTAAAATTTTCTGCTCCTTATAAAAATTATCAAAGTGGAAGAAAAAGAACTTTATGCTTATAGAAAATGTAAAAGAGAAAAAGATTGAAGGAAATGAACTTGTTTGCTATTTCATATTACCATTACCATTTTCCAATGTTAGATGTTGCGTACTAATTAGGACAATGCTTACTTTACACAGGTTACTGCCGTTGGGCATGCAGCCATGTTGGCTGCTATTCAGAGATATGTACCAGCTCTGGTATACACATTATGACTGGCTGCTACTTCTTTTTCCATCTCCTATTCAAATTTTAAATCTAACGTTGTAAGAATATCCACCTTCTTCCTTGCAGATTCCATCCACTTACGCACCAGAGAGGTTGGAACTCTTGAGGCAACTTGATAAGATGAAGCAAATGACAATCAATGACGAGGATTCAGATGAGAAAGTGGATGAAGTTAAATGACTCGGAGCAACGCAGATTTATGTATAGCTAACATATCTTTACATTCTTCCTGATCTGATGAAAATTGGATCAGCTTCGTTCTTTGCTTTCTGGAAAAATAAATTTGATTCCAAATTTCTTAGAGAGGAGTTGGGCATAGATAAGTTCGTTCCACGTGTCAGGCACTCCGGGTAAACACCAGTGGCTACAATCCTGAGGAGCATCAGGTGGAGTGCCTGGTTCCCGATATTTGGAAGGGTGGCCATCGTTCCTCACTTCTGAAAGATATGTGATGTTCAAAAAGTTGACTTTCCAGCTTCCATATTGCATCTCTTTAACAGCATCAGATATAAATAAGTTGTAATACGGTTCAGTTTCGAGTTTTGTTGAGTCGTTTTCTGGTTCCGAGTCCTGGTCGCAGCTTCCTCCTTCATTCCATGTGCCATTCCTGCAATTTCACTGTACAGACTCTTACCCAATGTACTCCGAAGGGATAACTTAAATAGGATGAATAGATTTGATCCAAAAAAAAATTATGAAGTGAGTTATTATACTTTTAGTTTTAAGGCTTGTTTGGATTGGCCAATTTGAACGTATCTGTTGGCTTAAGTACTTGTCCGACTATTTGGATGAGCTTATAAAAACACTTTTATTTATATTTTTGTTATATATACTCTCATATGATAAATGTATGTTATACATATTTTATTAGTTTGTTTATCTAAACATAACCTAAGCTCAAGTTTGAGTTTGATCTTAATAACATTTGGTCTGGTTCCTTTTAGATGTTTTTCCATCAGAGTATGTGACAGTGTCAATACCACATTAATGTGTTAATATACTTGCCTGTAATGAACCGGCGAATAGCTTCGGAAGAAGACGAAACTCTTCATAGGTTTTAGATTACCCAATGCCCATATTTTCCATGTCTGTAAGGATCCCCTAAAAGCTTCTTTCACTGTCATAGTCATATTTACCTTCCCTCCTTCCTGGAAGTAGATGCCTCTGCAAAAATATAGAGATTGTTTATATGTGTTACTTGTATTTAAAAACTTGAGATTTAATTTATACTCACGCCTTGATAGTTTTGTCTGGGTTCCACCAGTGACCAGAATTGAAAACAAGAACATCTGCTTCTTTCCACTTATTGGAATACCAATGCAACTCATCAAGTCTGATAGTCATTTTGATGTCTTTAGCTGAATTGGGTGGTGGACGACCTAAAATGGACAAGAAGGGTGCTCTGTAATACTCAACTGTCATGTTGTATTCTTCAAATTTCATGATTAAGTAGCCTTTGTGTTTGCTTATGGGACTTCCATTCACTTCATATATTTTTGACATGTTAGAGACCCCTCTTGTTAGCATGCATAGTAAAGACTCCCATTGGTTTCTGCCCACAGAATCACCCGCAAATAAAATGCGCCCATTGCGGCTTCTTTCAAGGAGGTCACTGGCATTGAATCTGATACATGGAATGAATCAAGACAAGTTGCTATTAGATATTGATCATTACTTCTAAGAGTATCATACATGTTAAAAGAACAATGTAATGGATCATAGAGATTATTCATTTAGTAAGTCACTATAAATATCTGATAGAAACTAGGGTATTCTATGCATGTATATGCTCAGAATAATCATCGAGTCGGAGAGGACAGACAACAAAACTTTGAATATAGATCAATTCCATAAATTTTGATTAAATTTTGAAACTATTCTATACTCTATTAAATAATTTCAAAAGAGTATTTATATATAATAATGTTTATGAAAATATAAGTAAGTTTGCCTTAAAGAAAGTAAATATTAAGTTATTATATTTATATTAAAAAACTATATATTTTGGACTTGTCTAAGACTTGTATGTTTGATGACTAATACAATAATATTAATGAAAGTTAAATTGATGAAATTAACTTATTGATTGATTCATTTACGGTGAAAAAGAATACCTAATAATAGTCCATGAGTGTTCTATAAACAAGGCCTCATATTCTCCTCTTTCACTGCCATTATTGACTCTTTCCAATTAAACCTTTCTCCAAGAAAATAAAAAAGAAGATAGAGATCAAGAAACAACAATACATAACCCTATCCTATGCATTCAGCCATGCAACGAAGACAAAAAAATTAACACAAACATGCAAGTCACGTACCGTGGAAGATTACAATCATCAGGTTGCCATCTCCATTTCCGATAACCTTCATCGTTCCGACCGTTTTGTCGGCACCGGAATCCAGGATCAAGAAACGGACATTTTTCATCGTATAATTGATGAGAGTTATAAGCTTCATCCCAAACCCATTGGCCTTTGAAAAAATCACAAACTTCAATTGGTAGCAATGTTTTAGTGTTATTGGGAACAATATATGACGAGAAATTAAACAGGAAAAGTGATTGTTGATCAAAGATAATGAGGTTAGAATAGAATAGAGATGATAGTAAGAAGAAAAGAAAAGAGATTGCATAGGCTAATTCTCTATTCATTGTTAGTGTTTGTTAAAAGTTATGTGAACGAGATACAAATAGGTGTTAATATTGTGATGCAGGTTGTTTTTTTATTCTATTTAAGTAAATAAATAAAATCAATATTGTGTCATTATTTTATTTACAATAGTTTTAAATTTGTATTAAATTAAATATGATTTTTTATTTGTATTTTATTGTAATCTTATAACCAAACAAAACTAAACTAATCTAAGCACAATGTATAATACTTGAATAGTTAACTCAGGAAATGTAAACTTACATTTTTTAAATAGAAATCTGTTCTTTTATAGTATTTTATATTTGTTATATAATACTTTTATGATATAGAAAGAAATAAAACAATTTATGTTAAAGAGTAATATTTTAGTTAGTTAGTTACAATTTATTAATAATTTATTTGTACGTGAGTTATTGGGAATCCACCACTTCTCTATATAAGAACTTCGTGTGTAATATATATATATATATATATATCATGAAGACAAAGTATAATCAAATAATCATGAAAAAGTATGAAAAAAGTTTCAAATTCAATTTATCAAATCAAATTATTCTAAGACTTTTATTTTGAAGACTAACATTGTGGTCTTAATTGATCTTTATAATAGAGGTACAAATATACAAATTATATTGATAAAATAGTGCTCAAAATAATCTCCAATATTCACTTGCATGCATAGTTTATTTGGTTGAAAATATCTCACAATTTCTAATTTTAAAATAAAAAATTATTTATAATGCTTTCGAAAATTTATTTTTCATATTTGAACTATGTTAAATCACTTTCAAATATAATCTATTGATTTGGATAAATCTGCATAAAGTTGGTTAAAAAATTTAGACAATTTTTCTGATAGTTTTGGGTAAATTATGGCGTTTTGACCCGCCGTAACAGAACATGAACCGCCACAATTTACAATATTCTGAATCAGGTATTTTAATTTTGAAATTCAAAATACTGTTTTGTATTTGTTAAGTCAGGTACCCGTTGAAACTGACTTAACAAATTCTGTACGAATTTTAAAAAAACATCAACTTTTTTTAATATCTTTTTATGCCTCTTTTCATAAAACCTTTTCATTTTAACTTGAAATTTGTTCATGATATTTTTCCATGACTTCACCATGATTCATAAAGGTGTTATGCTCATATAAATACATGAAATTTTAAATTATAATTCACCTCTTCCATTGCAATTAACATCATTATATTCATTCATTTTCAAAACCAAGTGTTTTGATACTTCAACTTTTATTGAGAATTTTCCTGCATGTGTTCTTCATATCATTTCAAAAAAATTCCTCTCTCATTCATAAACACTTGAGCAATATATTATCTTTATAAATTGTTTGTTTGAAAGATAAGATCAATCATATATATATATATATATATATATATATATATATATATATATATATATATATATATATATATATATATATATATATATATATATATATATATATATATATATATATATATATATTCATCAACTTTTTACTTAATATTTTCCATATTTTGTTGTAAATTTCTTGTTGTTCAAAATTGTTAGAAACAAGAGAGTAGAAAGGAAAGGATTGATGAAAATAACATCGTCTCTCATGTTCTTGGTGCAAAGATTATCATCAATGTTAAATTAATTGCTACCTTACTAGGGATGGAAAAATCAAGAGGAAAATTTGTTTATGGAGCAAACCCTAAATCAAAATTCTTACACAATGTAATAGAACCAACTATTTTTATCGAAGGAAAACAAGGGATTACAAAAGAGAAATCCTCAAGGATAATGGAACTCAACAAGAATATGCATGTATGGTTCAAAATCATCTTGGGATGCATACATCACAGTTCGTCAACAAGTTCAATCGATTCAATCAATGTTGATCAGAAATGCATCCTTTACTATCTGATAAAGAAAGAAAAGATACATCTACCCTCTCTACTTGAATTTAAGGTATACTATTATTTGGTCGAGTCCAGACTTCATAGTAATTGACAGAATAAACTGCTATCTAGTCTGATTCCAGGATTTGTAGTGTCTGAAGAAGTTAACTGTTATCTGGTCGTATTCCAGGCTTCACAGTAACTTAATCTATTATCTGGTCAAAATCCAGGCTTCTCAGTAATTGAAGAAGTGAACTACTATCTGGTCGGATTCCAGGCTTCGCAACATCTTATACTGTTATCTGGTCGAAATCCAGGCTTCAGTGTCTTGAATTGTTGATTGACTATTATCTGGTCTGGTTCCGGGCTTCATAGTAACTTATATTGTTATCTATTTGGATTCCAGGCTTCACAGTGTCTGAAGAAGTTAACTACTCTCTGGTCGGATTCCAGGCTTCGTAGCAACTTACTGGGAAAACATGAAATTAACTGCTATCTGGTCAGACTCCAGGCTTCACAGTTTCTTCAACTGGAATAGAAATCAGAGAGATCTTAGTATCGATCCAACTAAACCAGAGAAGGTTTTGAATTAACTTTGACTAGAACTGAAATCAGGAAAATATTAGTATCAATTTAACTGAAC